ACTTGATTTTTTTTTTTTTTTTTTTTTTTTTTGAGATGGAGTCTTGCTCTGTGGCCCAGGCTGGAGTGCAGTGGCATGATCTCGGCTCACTGCAACCTCTGCCTCCCGGGTTCAAGCAATTCTCCTGCCTCAGCCTCCCGAGTAGCTGGGATTACAGGCACCCGCCACCATGCCTGGCTAATTTTTGTATTTTTAGTAGAGATGGGGTTTTACCATGTTGACCAGGCTGGTCTTGAACTCCTGACCTCAGGTGATCCATCAGCCTCAGCCTCCCAAAGTGCTGGGACTACAGACGTGAGCCACTGCGCCCTGCCCCATTTGATGTTTATTGCACAGAGCAGCCATCCACAGGTGCTGTGGAGGTTCCTCCAGGTGCCTTGACCCTTCTCAGGGAGCAGCTGGGACGTGCCCTGGCCTGTACTAGAACAGCCGGTGGGTTCTGTTGGCCCTCACGACATTTCTTAAAAACTGGAAGACGTTATGAACAAATAAAATTCAGGGGATTTCACATAAATTTCAGATGCTAGCTTTTCTTAGGGGGAAAAAAAAGCATTTGGTAACACTAGGAGTGCAGTCCTACAAGGCAAACATTGGCTGGAGCTGGGAGGTGGCTTCTATTCAGTGGCACTCGGCCCCTGGCATTCAGTGACACTAAGATGGTCCCTGGGGCATTTGCACTCACAGCCCCTTTCTTGGGTGCCTGGCAGAACTTGCTATTCCTTTGTTTTAGGTTAGCATTCCCATAAAAACCCACCATCCCCATCAGCCCAGTGCCTGGCTGTACTAGAAAGCAGCCCAGTAGAGCCTCCGGGTGTCTCCTGCCCTCTCCTGCCAGTGACATTCTTGATGTTGCTACCCGAACATTCAGACACAGCATTCTAATGGGGCGTAGCAAGAAAGTCAAGTGCTTCAACAGGAACCCTTAATAATCAACAGCCGATGGTTTGCTAAGGTCCTGAGAAGGGAAGCATGCTGTTTTTCAGCCAGCCTTGCACCAGGTCACAAGTATACACAGATCCCCCAAGACGTCATACCTGTAAATTTCATTAGTTTGTTATAGGCCAGCATGAATACCAATCTTTGGTACCCTTAAATGATCCAATCCAGTTGCCTATGTTAAATTTACATCTCCAGGCCAGGCATGATAGCTCATGCCTGTAATCCCAGCACTTTGGGAGGCTGAGGCAGGTGGATCACTTGAGTCCAGGAGTTTGAGACCCGCCTAGGTAACATGGTGAAACCCCATCTCTACAAAAAATGCAAAAATTAGCCGGGCGTGGTGACATGTTCTTGTAGTCCCAGCTACTTGGGAGGCTGAGGCTCAAGAATTGCTTGAACCTGGGAGGTGGAGGATGCAGTAAGCCGAGATTGTGCCATTGCACTCCAGCCTGGGCAACAAGGGAGACCCTGCCACAGTAAATAAATTAATTAACTAATTAATTAATTTACATCTCTAGCCTAGGCCCTCTCTCAAACTCTGGATTCCTGTGTGCACAGGTCAATTCAACAGCTCTGTTCTGGTGCCACACTCACATCCTAAACCCAGTTTGTCCCAAACTGAGCCCTCTGCTCCTCCCAGACTTCCTCCACCCACAGCCTTCCACAGCTCAGCAGAAAGCAGTCACGTCTTCCACTTCAAGCCGTCACCCATGGAGTCACCCATAACTCCTCTCTTCCTGTCCCATCCACAGCTGGAAGTCCTGTTGGTCTGTCTCTGGCAGATGCCCGTAATCTGACCACATTCTGTGTCCTGTCCACCACTGTTGCCTCCTGTCGCCTGGACAACTGCAGTAGCCCCTGACCATCTCCCTGCTTTCGCCCCTACCTCCTTTCAGTCTTTTCTCCACTCTGTACCTACATCAGATGTGGTCTTCCTCTGCTCTGAATTCCTCAGTGGCTCCCCATTTCCCTCAGAGCATGGGCCTTCCAGTGCCCTCCAAGGCCCTGCATGACCTGCCCTCCGCCAACCCCTCTCAGTCCTTCTGTCAGCCTATACCCCTGCTGGCTCCGCTCCAGCCCCGTGGGTACCTGGCTGCTCCGAGAACACATCACACGCCTCCCATCTTTGCGCTGGTGCCTGGAGCACACTTCCCTGGTCATCTGCGAGGCTCTCTCTGCGCCTGATACCCGCACTCCAGATCTCCCTGACCCCGATCTGCTTTGCGTGGTTTTTCATGTCAGTTTCCACGTCAAACACTGTGTTTTAAATTTATTATTTCTCCAGCTTATGGTCTCTCACTGTGTGAGTGAGGGACTTGGTTTCTCTGGTCACTACTGTGTCACCAGTGCCAAGAACAGAGCCTGGCACAGATAAATATTTCCCCAAGAGTTGAGATTCAGTAGGTAAACTCTCTTTAAGCACCCCAAAGAAATATTTGGAGCAGTTCTATATTTTAATGGAGTATGTTTTAGTATGAAAAAAATCCAAACATAAATAATTGAGAGGATGTTACAGTGACCTCCCCTCCCCGCCCCAATGTATCCATCCATTACCCACCCTTGGCAATAATCAATTTGCAGCCAAGTTCATTTCATCATCACCCCTACCCATTCCCCAGATTTTTAGGAAGCAAATCAAAGCCTTCATATAATTTTATCTGCAGATATTTTAGTATTCTTTTCTTTTTAGAGCTTCATTGTACTCTGTTGGGTGGGTGTACCATAATTTATTTTATTAGATGCTTAGTCTTATTAGGTGCTTCTTTTATATCACTGTGTATTTTATAAAACCAATTTTCCATTCATGGGAACTTCCAGAATCAACTGCAACTTTGCAATACTTGTTTTCTTAAATTGAGGTGTTATTACTTTGTAATTCTTGTTACCTGCGCAAAAGCAAAACAGAAAAGAGCAATGATATTGCAAAATACCCATCCCTCTTCCTAACATTATATATTATTCTTTACAGGTATTCTGTAAGACAGTTAATTTTTTAAATAACTTTTTGTTTTGATGCAATTTTTTTAACTTTGAGTTTCAGGAATAGGTGTGCAGTTTGTTCTGTAGGTCAACTGCATTTCACAGGGATTTGGCATACGGATAATTTCATCACCCAGCTAATAAGCATAGTACCGGATAGGTAATTTTTCTGGTCCTCTCCCTCCTCCCACCCTCTACCCTCAATAGACCCCAGTGTCTGTTGTTCCCGTGCTAGTATCCATGTGTTCTCATTGTTTAGCTTATAAGTGAGAACACGCGATATTTGGTTTTCTGTTCCCATGTTAGTTTGTTCAGGATAATGGCCTCCAGTTTCATCCATGTTGCTGCAAAGGACATGATCTCATTCTTTTTTATGGCTGTATAGTATTCCATGGTGTATTCCATAGTATTCCACATTTTCTTCTTCTTCTCTCTCTCTTTTTTTTTTTTTTTCGAGACAGAGTTTCACTCCTGTTGCCCAGGCTGGAGTGCAATGGTATGATCTCGGCTCACTACAACCTCTGCCTCCTGAGTTCAAGCGATTCTCCTGCCTCAGCCTCCCAAGTAGCTGGAATTACGGGTGCCTGCCACTACACCCAGCTAATTTTTGTATTTTTATTAGAGACAGGGTTTCACCATGTTGACCAGGCTGATCTCGAACTCCTGACTTCAGGTGATCCACCCACCTCGACCTCCAAAAGTGCTGAGATTACAGGCATGAGCCACCATACCTGTCCTCCACATTTTCTTTATCCAGTCTACTGTTGATGGGCATTTAGGTTGATTCCATGTCTTTGCAGTTGTGAATAGTGCTAGATGAACATACATGTGCATGTGTCTTTATGGTAGGATGATTTATATTCCTTTGGGTATGTACCCAGTAATGAGATTGCTGGGTCAAATGGTAGTTCTGTTTTTAGTTCCTTGAGGAATCGCCATGCTGCTTTCCACAATGGCCGAACTAATTTACACTCCCACCAGCAGTGTGTAAGCGTTCCCTTTAATCCTCAACCTTGCCAGCATCTGTTAGTTTTTTACTTTTCAATAGCCATTCTGATTGGTGTGAGATGGTATCTCCTTGTGATTTTTGATTTGCTTTTCTCTAATGATTAGTGATGTCAAGTATTTTTTCATGTGATTGTTGGCTGCATGTCTTGATACAATTTTAAACTTAAAGAAACATTGTAAGGATAGTACACTGACACTTCCACCCTTCACCCACACACCCAGATTCACCAGTTAACATTTTACTCCAATTGCTTTTGCTTTTTATTCTCTCTCTCTCTATATATATATAATTATATAAAAATTATATATAATTATACAAAGATATATAATTATACAAAAATTATATATTTATATATACAGAAATATTATGCACACACTTATGTGTATGCCCGCTATCATGTATTGATCTGTAAATTAAATTACATAACGATAGCTAGATCGATCGATAGAGGGCGCGTATGTGTGTAAATATTTGAGATGAAGTTGCAGACATCATTTCCCTTTACCCCGAACTGTGTGTGTGCATGCACATGTGTGTGTGTGCATGTATGTGTGTAAACCATTTGAGATGAAGTTGCAGACACCATTCCCCTTCACTCCTGTGCATGCGTATGTGCGCATGTGTGTGTGTGTGTGTATGTGTGTGTGTGTAAGCTATTTGGAATTAAGTGGCAGACATCATTCCCCTTTACCCCTCAACACTGTGGTATGTATCTCCTAAAAACAAGGGCATTTTACATAAGCACATTACACTAATGAAATTCAGGATATTTAGTATTAATAGAATACCACTGTCTAAGCCACAGACTGTATTTGAATTTTCCCAGTTGCCACAATAGTGTTCTTTACAGCGCTGCTCCCTCCCCAGGACCCCCCAGGGCCACCACTGCATTCAGCCGTGTCTGCCTAGTCTCCTGTAATCTGGGACCATTTTTTTTGTCTTTTATGACCTTGACATTTTTGGAGATTACAGGCCAGTTGTTTAGAATGTTCCTCAATTGGGGTCTAATAGATTTTGAGCTGCACTCCGAGAATATAATCTAAAGGAACGTCCCCCTGTCTTCTGCCCTCAGGACCTGGAAGCCGGCGAGAGAGACCCCTGTCTGCAACCCGCAAAACTCTTTGCGAGGCTGAGGACCCAGAGGAAGAAGCCTCTGCTGTGCTCCGAGCCATCCAGGTGGAGAACGCGGCCCTGCAGAGGGCGCCCCTCAGCAGAAAGGCTGAGCAGCCGGCCAGCCCACTGCAGGTGCGCTCCGGGCGGGGCGAGGAACCAGGGGATGCTCCCTGGACTAGGCAGTGTCTGAGCTGCAGTTAAGAAGAGCAGGTGGGAAGAAGAGAGAGGTGTAGTGGGTATCGCTGACCCCAGATTCATCCGTGTTTCCACTGTTCACAGACAGTCACCCACTGACCTGCTATGGCTCCCATTACTTCCGCCTTCTTTTGACTCTATTTCACAAAGCCTAAACTGGGTGCTAATCAGCCTCCAATCCTCACTGATTTCCCTGCAAACCCTGGATACCTTAGAGCAGGGTTGCAAACAGGTGGGTCAGTGAAGAATGGAGTCAACGACAAGCTCTGGCTTCCCAGGAAAGGTCTCATTCCCAAGCATGGACCCTTCAGGCATCCATAGTCCTCACTGCTTCCTATTGTCCTGCCCCTGGCCCACTTCATTTGTTCACAGAGCCTCTCTGGACCTACAGGGATTTGAGTTTCCAGCTGCTGCCTTCAGCTTTGAGCAGCCAATAGGAGGATAAATGGTGGGTGGAGCAGGGACCTTGGGGAGCTGGAGGCGTTGGGTATAGCTTGGGGTACACATTCTTTCCCAGAAGCTTGGTGTGTGACTCGCCTGTTGAAAGCCTTTTTTGTAGTTTGTCCCCCTCGATGCTCTCTGTAGCCCTGAAATAGGCAGGCTGGTTTCATTGCCTCACTTCACAGATGTGGCCACTGGTACAGAGAAGCAAGGTGGCCTGCTTCTCTCAAGGACAGGGTGATCACATCTTTGGAAGTGGCCGAGGTCTGCCCGCCTGCAAGCCCAGGGCCCTGTCACCAGCACCAGTTGTTCCCCAGGCTCTATCTTGGGGCTGCTCTTTGGGGCATCCATCAAGCAGCACCTATTGTGTGTGTTCCCAGACCTCTGACCTTGCCCCTGAACTTTACGTCTATGGTAGCTTGAGAAGGTCCCTGCCCTTTTCTGTGCCCTCATCTTTCTGTGAACAGCATGGAGTGAAGGCTTTGTTCCAACGTCACATCATGTGATCACATCCTTACAGGATGCAGAGGGACCACCAGCAAAACCATGGACCAGTCTGCTGGAGGAGAAGGAAGAGACCCCTGAGGTCAGTGCCAGGCAGAGATGAATGACAAAGCCCCATGCATGTGCATAGCACCTGATGGCCTCCAGGGCGCTTTCCTTCACGCTGTCCCACCAGGTCCTCACTGTGTGCCCTGAGCACTGGTGTCATGCTGCCCATTTCACAGATAGGGAGACCAGGGCTGGCGTGGCTTACCCAAAGTCACGAGTCGAAGCCAGAACTCACCCAGGCCTGCTGACTCAAACTGTTGTTATATTTCTATTTATTTATTTATGTTATTATTATTATTTTTTGAGACAGAGTCTTACTCTGTTGCCCAGGCAAGAGTGCAGTGGTGCAATCTCGGCTCACTACAACCTCTGCCTCCTGGGTTCAAGTGATTCTCCCACCTCAGCCTCCCAAGTAGCTGGGATTACAGGCACCTGCCACCATGCCCAGCTAATTTTTTGTATTTTTACTAGAGACGGGGTTTCACCATGTTGATCAGACTGGTCTCGAACTCCTGACCTCAAGTGATCCACCCGCTTCAGTCCCCCAAATTGCTAGGATTACAGGTGTGAGCCACCACGCCCAGCCTATATTTCTATTTATTGACAAGACAATGAAAAACAGATCTTAGTACCTTGAATAAATACATTTTTAAATCTGTATCTATCTAGGTCAGTTAAGTATATCTCAGCAAATTTGGTCCCAACAAATAAGGACGTGAATTAATAAAATGCCCAGGACTGTCTTTGCTTGGTCATACACAGGTCTGTGCCATGTGCTTAGAATACAGAGGCAGCTGAGACAGATGAGCCCTGGCCCCATGCAGCTTACAGGCAGCAGCAAATAAAACCATTCATAAACAGGGTGACATCAGAGAGCGATGACAATCACAGCTGCCAATATGTGAGAGAATGACAGGGTATAGGGCAGTGGCTGCCTCTGACAGGGTGGTCATGGGTGCCCCTTGGAAGGCATGTCCCATCTGAGCTGAGCCCTGCCTGTTCAGAAGGCACCAACAACAGGGAACGGCATTCCAGGTGGAAGGAACAGGGGAAAAGCTTTGAGGTGAGAATGAGCCCAGCCTGATCAAGGATTGGGAAGAAGCCCTTTGTGAGGCAGGGAAGAGGGGATGGGAGAAGCAGAGGGAGACAGAGCCCAAGCGGCACAGGGTGTGCATGTCGCACCCCAGAGCGCCAGAGTTGTTTGTCGTTTGCATTGCTGCCACTCGTCCTGCCAGTTCCCATCATCCTCGTCTGCTGCTAGCCTGTGTTTCTGACAGGCCTGCAGTAACTGCCTAGGTCCGGAATTTCTGGATGACCTAATTCCTGACCCACAGAGATTCCGGGGACTAAAATCTTCTGCAGATAGACAGCAGGGCACATTTCTAGTGTCAATGATAAATGAAAAAGAAGGGGAAAAGGCTCAGAGAATTAAAAATGAAAGGGCCTAATGCTGTTACTGGAATTCTTCATGGAGTCTGCTTGCTTTGTACAACCAGAACAGGGGCTCAGTTGAGATGGCGAGAGGATTTTTTTTTTTATTTTTTGAGACAGTGTCTCACTCTGTCACCCCGGCTGGAGTGCAGTGGCACGACCATAGCTTACTGCAGCCTCAAACTCCTGGGCTCAAGTGATCCTCCTCCCGCAGCCTCCCAAAATGCTACGGTTACAAGCATGCACCATTGCATCCGGCCAGTGAAGCTTTTTGATAAGAGAAGGTTTCCAGTAGCTCATCGAAGTGGATTGTTTCCTAGGAGCACCCTGGTCATCAGAAACTGAGATGGTGTGAGGGGTTCTAGATAGAAGCTTCAGGCAGTTGCTGTCACCCTCACATTCCTGTTCCTGTTTTATACAAAGGGACTGTCAGCCTAAGCATGCCTGCCCTTGACCATGACCCTGCTGTGTCTTAGGCCAGGAGTGTTGCCTGAGACATCTGTTTAATAAACCTTTCCCATCCTCAGTTGCTTCCCATCACCACGGCGACCACCACTCAGGAGCCGGCCGGGGCAGCAGGGGGAGCCAGAGCCATCAACCAGGCCATGGACAGAATTGGACTTCTGGGAAGCAGGTACTACCAAGGGTGAAGCCAAACCCAAAACTCCTTAGGAGTGCAGCCATAGGGATCTTCTTCATGAGGGTTCTTTGCTTTTCCTATGTTTTTTCAAACCCCCTATTTCTTTCTTTAAGATGGGGTCTCGCTCTGTTGCCCAGGCTGGAGTGCAGTGGCACAAACAGCTCACTGCAGCCTCAAACTCCTGGGTTAAAGTGATCCTCCAGCCTCAGCCTCCTGAGTATCTGGGATCACAGGTATGTGCCGCTGCACCCAGCTAATTTGTGTACTTTTTTGTAGAGATAGGGTCTCACAATGTTGCCCAGGTTGGTCTCCAACTCCTGGGCTCAAGCAATCTACCCACCTCGGCCTCCCAAACAGGCGTGAGCCACCACGCCTGGCCCCAAATCTGTTAAATGATTCCTTTAGACTATACTCTGTCTCCCCCTCCAGTTCTAAAGCATTCAAATTGACTTGATTTCTTTTAGGCATATAGCTCTTATCTTGGTCAGTTTGGCCCCAATCTGTGTAGAACTTGAACCTTCTCCAGGTTTCCAGTAGAATACCCCATGCAGCACAGGGCGTTAAACTTGTTCCCCTGCCGGTCTAGGGGGCGAGGCTGGCCCACAGCAGCGTCCTTCGAAGCTCCTTTTCTCTATTAAAAGTTTGTCCAAACTCAGCATTCTGTTCCATTAATGTGTAGCAGCAGTTATTGGAACTGTCAGGTTTTATTATCAAAATAAAGCCTTCCCTCTAGTCTTCAGACAAAATAGATCTTCAGAAAGATGTGCCAGGCTGAGCCTGTAGTTTCTGGCATGCCATGGCACACAGGCACACTCCGAGGGCCGCTGTGCACAGGCAGCTGTGCATGCTGGGCACTGTGCAAAGTGCCTGGCTGAGGGGCGAGAAGGGGCTGAAACCCAGCCTGTGTGCTGGTTACTAAGCTGAGGGCCTGGCCTGGGGCTGCATCAGCCCAGAAAGGGGGTGGTGGCTTTTCTGCATGAAGAAGGAATTCACTAGCCAAGCTGTGTGCCCTCCAGGTCCGCGTCCACCTAGAGGGAGCCCTTTGTTATAACTTACAGGGAAACTGAATAGGCTAAAGGCACCGCCATCCATTCCTTTAAGACTCTCCAGGCCCCAAATAGAAATCAGGGCTGTGTACCATCGTGGCCATAATAAGAACTCGCAGTTTCCCCTGCACGTGAAAAGGCTGCAGGCAGGCGCGGTGCTCACACCTGTAATCCGAGCATTTAGGGAGGCCGGGGAGGGCAAATCACCTGAGGTCAGGAGTTCGAGACCAGCCTGGCCAACATGGCGAAAACCCATCTCTACTAAAAATACAAAAATTAGCTGGGTGTGGTGGCACGTGCCTGTAATCCCAGCTACTCAGGAAGCTGAGGAAGGAGAATTGCTTGAACCCCGGAGAGGGAGGTTGTAGTGAGCCGAGACTGTGCCTTTGCTCTCCAGCCTGGGCGACAAGAGTAAAACTCCGTCTCAAAAAAAAAATTAAAAAAGGCCGGGCGCGGTGGCTCAAGCCTGTAATCCCAGCACTTTGGGAGGCCGAGACGGGCGGATCACGAGTTCAGGAGATCGAGACCATCCTGGCTAACACGGTGAAACCCCGTCTCTACTAAAATACAAAAAAATTAGCCGGGCGAGGTGGCGGGCGCCTGTACTCCCAGCTACTCGGGAGGCTGAGGCAGGAGAATGGCGTGAACCCGGGAGGCGGGGCTTGCAGTGAACTGAGATCTGGCCACTGCACTCCAGCCTGGGCAACAGAGCAAGACTCCGTCTCAAAAAAAAAAAAAAAAAAAAATTAAAAAAAAGAAAGAAAGAAAGAAAAGGCTGGGCCATGAGGATATTTTACATCTGATGCAGTTTTATTACAAGCAGCATGCACTCCGCCAAATGCTTCTTTCCTCGGCATCAAGATCCTTTGTGCTTCAGGGTCTTGGGGGTACCCAGCCTTAAACTGCACATGTGGGCATGTTTGCAAATGATGAAGGCATGCTCTGCTGGGTTTAGAATGCCATGTCCTCAGAAACAAGAGGAGCAGAGCAGATCTCCAGCCCAGGAGTCAGCAAATTGTTGCTGTAAAGGGCCAGATAGTAAATATGCTTTGCAGTTGGTTTTGTTGTTGTGATAGTTGTTTCTTTGTACAACCTTTTAAAAATGTAAACCATTCTTAGCTCACAGGCTGTACAAAAACAGGCCGTGGGCTGGATTTGACCCGTAGGCCTTAGTTCGGCTGACCACTGCTCTTGACTCTCAAGTTCAAAGCTTAGGGAGGTCAGCTGGCCGCCTTGCCCCAAGCAGTGTGTCCCCAGCTGGGCTCTGATTCCATCGCTAATTGTATAGCCATTTATAAAGGGAGAAAAACAGCAAGCCTGCCCTTGCCTTTGAACTGGATACAGAGTGCATACTTCCTCTTCATTTCCTGTTCCCGAGAAGGAAATGTCAGTGTGGCACTTTTAATGGGAATGTTCTCTTTTGTGTATCATTTACTACTACCTGTTTGCTAAAACCAAATCCCATTTCAGACAACAGCAGAAGCTTCTGAAAGTCCTCCAGGCCGTCGAAAGTGACTCTGCCCATCTCGGCAGGGTGGTTTCACCAACCAAGGAGCAAGTATCAGACGCAGAGGTGAGAGCCTTGACTTGATTTTCAGTTCTACATTCAGGATGGTTCCCTCAGAACAGTCATTTCGCATCGGTGGGGATTGCTCTGACAGTGGTTAAATGAGCATCTCTCTGCCTGTGTCTCCATCTCCCCCCATCCCTGACACACAGAGGTATATATGATGAAGAGCAGGAGCAGAGAAAGGAAGATGTGGGCCAGAAGTTTCAGCAGAGAGAAGCCGGTCTGCACAAGAGGAAACATAAATAGCATGAAAGCCCATAGGAAAATGTCCAACTTCGCTGGCAATCAAGAAACGCAAATTACAACAACCTAAATGTCCCATTTGCTCTCTGAATTGACAAATTATTTCTGAGGATAACCTCTAGTGCTAGCAAGGTTACAATAAAGCTGTGGCAGCCACACATATGTGGCAGGCAGCTGTATAAACAGGTAAAACCCTCTTGGAAAACAGAATGCTTGACCTTAGGAAGAGCCTGAGAAACACTTCTCAGAGTGTTTCAGCCCCACAATCCAGCTTCCTTATGTAAGGAAATCACCCCACAGAACTAAGAAGCTAGAGGCACACAGATGTCTATTACAGAATTATTGGAAGTAGGGAAGACATTTTTTAAAAACCTAAATGTCTTATAACAATGGAGTTAATCAGGAAAAGTATGATACATCAGCACGATGCAGTAGTATAAAAGGATGGAAGCTGTCATTACGAGACGATGCAGACAAGAAACGTTAGCGATATCAGCCTAACTGTAAAAGGTGATGTTAATCTTTAAGTCCAATAGGATTGCAACAACCACACAAAGATGTGGCCATATGAGTGTGCTGATGGAGCTAGGACACAAAATACAAAAGGGAACTGGGGCATCAGAGTGGTAGGATTAACGGCGATTCAATTTTTTTTCTTTTCTTTTCTTTTTTTTAGACAGAGCCTTGCCCTGTCGCCCAGGCCGGAGTGTAGTGGCGCCATCTTGGCTCATGGCAACTTTTGCCTCCCAGGTTCAAGCTATTCTCCTGCCTCAGCCGCCTGAGTAGCTGGGATTACAGGCATGCGCCACCATGCCCAGCTAATTTTTGTATTTTTAGTAGAGATGGGTTTTTGCCATGTGGGCCAGGCTGGTCTCTAATTCCTGGTCTCAAGTGATCCACCCACCTTGGCCTCACAAAGTGCTGGGATTATAGGCCACCACACCCGGCCTCCCAAAGTGCTGGGATTACGGGCCACCACACCCGGCCTCCCAAAGTGCTGAGATTACGGGCCACCACACCCGGCCTCCATTTTCTTTCGTGCTGAAAGGTGTGTGTCCCAGCACATCCTTCTGCCCCTACCTTCACCCAAGCCATTCTTAGTATTATTTGGTATGGTGGTCACCAATGTTACTACTGGCCAGTGAGGACTTAATGCGAAGTCCTCCCAAAGCCACATATAAAATCCTGTGAGAGCAGAAAGGCCCCTGAGCTGGCCTGGTCTGGACTAGAGTTCCAGCTTTGAATCTGTGGCATTCATTGAGAGATTGTGTGACCTTAGACAAGCCTCTTAAGCTGTCTGGTCCTGGCTGTCAAATAGGGTCAATAATCCATGCCCCACAGGCCACTGTGAGGATGAAACAGGAAAGGTCTCTGAGAGCATGCAGCTCAGTGCAGGGAGAGACCAGCAAATATCCGCTGAGAGTTCACCGAGAAAAATCAAAGCTGGGGTCCCCACTGCATGGAATAGTTTCTTCATTTGTATTATTTTAATTAATTAATTAGTTAATTTTAGAGATAGGGCCTTGCTGTTTCTCCCAGGCTGGAGTGCAGTGGGTGTGATCACAGCTCAATGCAGCCTTGAACTCCTTGCTCAATCGATCCTCCCGCCTCGACCTCCTGAGTAGCTGGGACTACAGTGGCCCCCCAGCACACCTGGCTACTTTTAACAAATTTTTTTGTAGAGATGAATCCTTGCTGTGTTGCCCAGGCTGGTCTTGAACTTCTGGGCTCAAGCAGTCCTCCTGCCTCAGCATCCCAAAGTGCTGGGATTGCAGCTGTGAGTCACCATACCCGGCTAAGTCTCCTTATATTACGGGAGACAGAAAATCCAGGGCAAACTGACTTATACAACAAAGAGAAGAAAAATGACAGACTCTTCTCATTGAAAATGACACAGGGAGGGCCAGGTGGGGCCTGATCCAGCAGCTCCCACTGTGTCTTTCCCCTCTGTCTGCACAGTGGAAAGCTCAGTCCCACCACCTGCAGCTCAGTCCCATCTCTGCTCCCTCCTCATGGTTCCCAAATAGCTAGAATGGTTCTACCTTGCACCCCTGTGTCATCAGACTGCACTGTCAGGAGGGAAGCCCGTTTCTCACCATGTAAGTCTGTGATTGGCGTGCTTGCACTGACCTGTGCCAGCGTGCTTGCCTGTGCTTCCTTGGACCAGTCAGGCCCCTCCCTGGAGTGGGAAAGGGTCAGTCCCCCTATTCTTTATGGCTGAGAAAAGAGACGCCGTGCCTTCCCCCCAAGGAAAATCAAGTGGTCTCAGCAAGAGCAGGGACAATGAATGACAGGGGCCAGGAGCTGCCCAGCCAGTGTCCCCCTCCCACCGCCAAGCAGGATCCCAAATTGGGCAGTACAGAAGCAGGAGGAGCCACTGAGTAGCAACAGACAAGTTGTGACACTTGCTTAGTTAATAGATTCTTCAGCTTTTTCATTTACCAACACAGCTGAGGAATTTGCACATTTCAGATTGCACTGGGTGGGAGTTCTAGCAGCCCCTCCGAAAGGCAGCCTGCCTCCCATCTGGCCTTCCTCCCATCTGGCCCTCCTGCCTCCCACCAGCAAGCAAGGTGACCAGTGCTACTTCTTCAGCAGCCCCCAGACTGACCGCTTACCTGGTCCTGGATCGCTCCACACAAGCACAAGCTTATTAACCTCCCAGTCCCGTGGAGTCAGCTAGGCCAGTTTAGCTTTATCAGGGTCCTGCATGCCTGGGACTCAGACCCAGGGCAGCAGAGGGCTTGGCCAGGACGCCACATGGCTGTGAAGCAGAAGGAGGAAGCTGTGGGTTCCGAGGAGCCGGCTGATCAAAACAGGCCCTGTCTTTCATCCGGGAGCTGTGAGCTGACCTCTCTCCCTCCTCCCTATCCACGTTCCCACCACGTGGCAATCAAGGCCCCTCCAAACACACACTGAGAGTGATAGCACGTCTCGCTGGCTATTAATTAAAAAAGTAAGTGGGGAACAGTTGCTGTTCATTTGCTCGGCTCCCTGCTCACAGAACCATTGCAGATTACCCGTGCTAATTAACAGAGGGCATGTGCACGCGGGGAATGCACCATTTTGTGAGTGACTGATCCGTGGCGACCAGTGCTGCAGTCAGCCCCGGAGGGCCTCAGGAAGCCATTCCGAAGGGTGGCCGTTTATTGATGGCATTCACGCAGGCTCTCAGAGCAGACAGCCGACGCAGGAAGGAGGCAGGCATTAAAACCAATGAAGGAGAGAAACAGAAAGAAACAGACACTTACGGAGCGCACCCAGGGCCGGGGCTCATGATAGGGCCTTCTTAGGTATTGATATCCTGTTTAACGTCTGTGACAGGATTATCACATAGATGGTGTCATGTCATCTTCCCCAGCCAGGCCGAGGGATGTCAAGTGACTTGTCCAAGGCCAGGGGGCCATGTTTCCTACTATATCAGTCCTCTAGGGCCGCCATAACAAAATACCATACATGGGGTGGCTTCAACAACAGAGATTTCTTTTCTCACAATTTCGGAGGCTGGAAGTCCGAGATCAAGGTGTTGGCAGGTTTGGTTTGTTCTGAGGCCTCTCTCTTTGGCTTACAGACAGCTGTCTTCTTGCTTTGCCCTCATATGGCCTTTTTCTGTGTGTGCATCCTTGATGTGTCTCTCTGTTTGTCCAACTTTCCTCTTACAAGGACACCAGCTAGATTGGATTAGTGCCCGCCCACCCTCCCCCCAGCCTCATTTCAATTTAATCACCTATTTAAAGGCCTTATCTCCAATACAGTCATATTCTGAGGTACTGGGGATTAGGGTTTCAACAGATGAATTTGAAAGGGCTAAATTCAGCCTATAACCTTTTTTTTGTTTTTTTGGTTTTTTTGAGACTAGGTCTTTCACCCAGGAGTGAAGTGGTGCGAACACAGCTCACTGCAGCCTCAACCACCTGGGCTCAAACAATCCTCCTGCCTCAGCCTCCTATGTAGCTGGGACTACAGGCATGTGCCGCTGTGCCCAGCTCATTTAAAAAAAAAAATTTTTTTGTAAAGACAGGATCTCACTTTGTTGCTCAGGCTGATCTTGAACTCCTGGCCTCAAGGAATCCTCCCAATTTGGCCTCTCAAAGTGCTGGGATTACAGGCGTGAGCCCCCATGCCCAGCCTCAGCCTGTAACACCTACTCAGTTGAGCAGATGTCGTGACAAGCTTCTGGGTACCGAACACTGAGTAGTGGGGGAGAGATGTGCGTGCTTAGGCAGAATTCAATGCTTTTTAGACATTTTTATGTATTTCTAAACTCTCAAACAGAATGCTCACAGAGTGCCAGTTACACAGCGACTCTCTTTTGAATGCTTTACAGTATGAATTCATTTGATCATGGGAGTAACCATAGGTAGTGGGTGCTATTCTTATCCTCATTGTACAGATGGAGAGACTGAGACACTGAAGGTTAACTAACTTTTTGAAGGCAGTGGTAGCAGAGGTAGAGCCAAATTCAAGCCTGTCATGACTTAATCCTTTGGTGTTATTTTTCTCTTCTTTAAGGACAAACAGAGAACAAGGGCAGACGAGATCAAAGATGCCATCTACGTGACCATGGAGATCCTGTCCAACTGGGGCAACTCGTGGTGGGTGGGTCTCACAGAAGTCGAGTTCTTTGACCTGAATGACACAAAGCTTTATGTGTCCCCCCACGACGTGGATATCCGGAACACAGCCACACCTGGGGAGCTGGGCCGCCTCGTCAACAGGAACTTAGCTGTGAGTAGAGGGGACACTGGATTGCTTCTTGGCTGTGTATTCCCATGCATTTTCTCTGCCCTTGATAAATCTGTGTTAAGGGTATGAGTGGAGGGAGGAGAAGAACAACAAAATCTGGCCAGGTACGCAGGCTCACACCTGTAATCCCAGCACTTTGGGAGGCTGAGGCAGGCGGATCATTTGAGGTCAGGAGTTCAAGACAACAACAAGCCTGGGCAACAAGGCAAAATTCTGTCTCTACAAAAAACACAAAACATTAGCCAGGCATCATAGCTCATGCCTGTAGTCCAGCTACTTGGAAGGCTGAGGTGGGAGGATCTCCTGAGCACAGGGAGATTGAGGCTGCAGTGAGCTGTGATTGTACCACTGCACTCCAACCTGAGCAACAGGGTGAGACCCTGTCTCTACAAACAACCAAAAATAGGCCGGGTATGGTGGCTCACACCCGTAATCCCAGCACTTTGGGAGGCCGAGGCGGGTGGATCACTTGAAGTCAGGAGTTCGAGACCAGCCTGGCCAACATGGTGAAACTCCATCTCTACTAATAATACAAAAATTAGCCAGGCGTGGTGGCACATGCCTGTAATCCCAGCTACTTGTGGAGGCTGAGGCAGGGGAATCACTTAAACCCAGGAGGCAGAGGTTGCAGTAAGCCGAGATTGCAGTAAGCCAAGATTGCACCACTGCACTCTGGGTGACAGAATGAGACTGTCTCAAAAAAAAAAAAATTAAATAAATCTACCAGAGTTATTCATTTGGGCAAAGTTGGAGAGGAGCCTGAGGGAGCGGTGCTGGCAGAGGCCCCAGACACTCTCTCCCTAAGCTGTTTCCCAGCCCCTGCTCTGTGGGTATTTCTTGGGGGAGCCAATTCACCTTCTTTTATCCACCTTGCAGTTTTCCAGTCACCATCAAACACTGGACCTCAGGAGTCATTAAGGTTAATGGTTGTTCTTTGTAGTTGAAGAAACTACAGCTTGGAGAAGGGCATTGACTTGGCCAAGGTCATGCAGCTGGAAGGTAGTGGAGCCAAGTTCATATCGGGCAGCCTGGGCCAGGACCCTTGCCCACACTCCCTCAGGACCCTGCTGCCCTAGGTCGTGAGGTGCACACTCCACAAACGTTAAATGTTTCTTTCCTTTAAATATCCAACAGAGCCAGGTACAGTGGCCAACACCTGTAATCCCAGCACTTTCGGAGGCTGAGGTGGACGGATCACCTGAGGCCTGGAATTCAAGACCAGCCTGGCCAACATGGCGAAATCCTGTCTCTACGAAAAATACAAAAATTAGCCAGGCGTTGGGGCACACACCTGTAGTCCCAGCTACTTGAGCTGAGGCAGGAGAGTCGCTTGAACCTGGGAGGGGAGGTTGCAGTGAGCCATGATCGTGCCATTACACTCCAGCCTGAGCGACAGAGCAGGACTCTGTCTCGATAAACAAACAAACAAACAAACAAACAACAGAATTTACAAAAAGAAAGATGGGGGAGGGTACTGGCATTTTTTTCTTCCTGCAACTTGCAAGTTGGACACAAGAGACTGTGAGCTAAACTGAGCCAGAGTAGCCAGCCACATCATCTTTGCTATGCTGGGCCTCAGCTTTGTTCATAATTATCTCCTCAGAGACCTGAGAAGATGTTGTTATTGCGTGATCATAGCTCACTGCAGCCTCGAACTCCTGGTTTCAAACTGTCCTCCTGCCTCAGCCTCCTAAATAGCTGGGACTAGAGGCACACAACACCACATCTGGCTAATTTTGTAAAATTTTTTATAGAGACGGGGTCTCACTATGTTGCCTGGGCTGGTTTCCCTGGCCTCCAGTGATCCTCCCACCTCGGCCTCCCAAAGTGCTGGGATTACGGACATGAGCCAGCATGCCCAGCCTTTGCTGTTATTGTTATTATTATTAATAGTATTAATACCACTGGGAAAAGTAGTTAGTGTTATTCCCATTTTAAAGAAGAGGAAACAAGAAAAGGGATGTTTGAAATGTCTGGTTCTAGAGACCCAGATTCTGGTCTTGACTCTGGCCTCGGCAACTTACCTGCCTTCTCTGAGAGTGGATTTTTCTGCCTGCTGAAAAATGGGAGATTGGGTCAATCATCTTTTAGGATTCTTAGATTTCCAGCAGCAGAAACCAAGTCCAGCTCAGTTAGCACATGTTTAAAAAGTAAGTGTGTTTCAAATCTTTTGAGTAGCTAGTGTACTCACTGCCATGCAGGCCGGGAGAGGATGAGCTTTGTGGGAAAGTTGGGGTTTTAGGGAGCATCCTGGAATGCTGGCCACCACGGGTGTGGTCTTCTTTTGGGGGTGGGAGATAAACAGGAGGATGTGAGATTCTTCTGGAAAGATTCTTCTCTTTGGACTTGAGGTTCTGGGGGAGACTGTGCTGTCCTACTTAGAGAGTTGACTGTTTTGGCCTTTGTGTGAGTGGTCACTTCCATGGCATCCGAAACCATGACTAACTTACGTCCTAAACTGGGTCATAACTCAAGGTTGGGGGCTGCTTTCAGAGAAGGGAACAAAATGAGAAGGGGAGATGGAGAAAAGGATAAAGCTGCAATCCCTTAGTTCATACAACAACCGTGATTGAGATGCCTCGGCAGTGTTGGTTGGCTGGTTGGTTTGTCCTCACCAGCCTCTGCTGGAAATAGTCTCAGGAAAGGAAGGCTGATAGACAAACCTGTTCCACCAAGATGCCCCAACGGGGCAGGAAGGGATTCTCCCTGAAGGAGTTCAAGATTGCTTAGAAAATGTGTAATGTATGTCACAAATAAAAATAAAAATTAAGAAATTCAAGATCGCCACTAAAAGAAAGCTGGATGCTACAGAGCTAAGAAGCAACAGCTGTCCCCAGGCTTGGACTGGGTAGGTCTGAGTCCCCTTCTAGATCAGCAGTTCTGTGATCTCAGCCCTCGAAAGATGCAGTCCCTGAGCTGTGGATAACGGCCACCTGGGCGCTGTGGCCTGGCCTATCCCTGTGCTGCCTCCAGATTCAAGTCTTTAGGCTCCCATGCTTGCTGCTGGGACTTGGGCCAGCCCTCGCCACCCCTCCCCTACCCCGCTCTTGCGGAAAGCAGTGGCATTTTGGAAGCCTGCTCTCCAGAACAGAGCACACTAGGGACAATAAAAAGCATCGTTGGATTTGATGGGGACCAATTCTGATGATTGCTCTCCCTTTCTTCTGTTTAGCAGAGACTGGGGCGCTTTGCCATGTGATGACCCACAGTTTTGGTGGATTTGAGGTTTTTGTTTTTTGGCCCTGCGATTGGGACATGAGGCAGCTGTGTCACCCTGGGCTGCTGGGTCTCTGGGCTCATCTGCAGGAACGCTGGATTCCCCCTTCTTCCCTGATGCGGGGCTTCCCTGCATCCTGGGTCCCAGGCCCGGGGCTACCGGAGCACACTGCCTCTCAGAACCATCTAATTGCACCAGCGTGTGGCAGCCATAGCCTGGTGCATCGCCTCGTTTAACCCTCACATGAACCTTGGGATGACTCTCCCCATTTCATCAATGAGAAAAAACAAGATGCAGTGAGGAAGAAGCACTTGCCTCAGGCCGTAGAGCATGGCTAATGGAGCCCACCCGACAGCCCAGGTACCTAGAAGCCTGGGCTTGAAAGAGAAAAGGCTTCAGTGGAGGTGAATTGGGGCATTCAAAAAATGTGGGAGTGCCCCAGCCTCTATGGAAACTCCTCCCTTCTGTGCCCGCACTGTGTCTCTTACTGGCTGCATCCCAGCCCAAGGCCTCAAGATGACTCCAGATTTAGACACCCAGCCCTGCCTGCCCCTCTGAGTTTCTGACGTGAATGTCAACTTCCTGCTTGACATCTCTTGGATCTCTCCTGGCCATCTCAGACTTCGTTATTATTCTTATTTTTAGAGACAGGGCCTTGTTCTGTCGCGCAGGCTGGAGAGCAGTGGTGCAGTCATTGCTCACTGCAGCCTCGACCTCCTGGGCTCAGCCACCCTCCCACTTCAGCCTCTCAAGAAGCTGGAACTACAGGCACACACTACCACACTTGGTTAATTTTTTATATTTTTTGTAGAGATAGGGTCTCACTATGTGGCCCAGGCTAATCTCGATCTCCTGACCTCAAGCAATCCTCCTGCCTTGGCCTTCCAAAGCACTGGGATTACAGGCATCAGCCACCATACCCAGCCCATTTAAAACTTAAGTTTAGAGATTTAAAACTTAAGTTTTGATTCCCCTGCCCTCTTCCCCACATCACTTCTTCCTCCAGTATTTCTTGTTCAGTAACCAGCATTGCTGTTGGCTTAGATGTACCACAATCTTCCTTGACTGCCCTAGGATATTATGGATTTCCTATGAGTCTAGAATTATTTCCAAATAAAAAGTAAAAATAATAATAATAATAATATGTATGTGTGTGTGTGTGTGTGTGTGTATACATACACATACATATTACACTTTTCATGTATTGGGGATTGATGTGGTTTGACTGTGTCCCCACCCAAATCTCATCTTGAATTGTAAAAATACCCACTTGTCAAAGGCAGGGCCAGGTGGAGATAATTGAATCATGGGGATGGTACATTTGGGCACAGTGGCTCACACCTATAATCCCAGCACTTTGGGAAGTCAAAGCAGGAAGATCATTTGAGGCCAGGAGTTTGACACCAGCCTGGGCAACATAGTGAGACCCTACCTCTACCAAAAAAAAATTAATTAAAAAAAATTAACATGTATGTGTATGTATATTTATGTGTATGTGTATATATATATATGTGAGTGTGTGTGTGTGTATGTGTGTGTGTGTGTATATATATATATATGATTGTGCCCTTCTCCTACTTAAAACATGTCCACTGTGACTTCTGGTTACCCTTGGAAATAAAGCCCAGGTGCTTTCCCATGGCCTGGAGACTCTCTGTGAACAGGCCTCCACTTCCCCCTCTGCCTGCTTCACACACCCCTGCTTCACACCCAGGCTCCAGCAGCCTTGGGCCTGCCCTCTCTTCTTCCAACCCACCAACCTCAT